CCCCCCCCGCCGGGGCCCGCGCCTTGCGGGGGGGGGTCGCTCGTCCTCCCCGCGGGTGTCACCTGCGCTCCCCCGGGGCGGGGGAGGCCGGCGGTGAGGCCGGGGAGCGCAGCGCAGCCCAGATAAAATTGAGCTGTCCTTCCCTCGGGTGCATTTAGGAATGCAGCTTCGCTCCCGGGCGGTGGGTGAGGGGAAGGCGAGCGCCTGATGTGTGCCACTTTATGTTCCTTCAGCCAGGGAGAGGAGAAGGCGATGTGGTGGGAGAGGGAGGAGGAGAGGCCGCGGGAGCAGGCTGCCTGCCGGCGGGCTGTAGCAGCGACAACAGCCAGGTGTGGCTGGGAGGGTTCCCGATAAGCGCTGCACGCCGCTGCTGCCCTCCCGGGTGCCAGCTCCTCTGCCTCTTGCGGGGGCAAGAACACCGGAACCCTCCGGTGGGAATTGCAGCCGGTGTTTCCTGTCCTGGGGGTGCAGCGTGGTTTGGTTTGTGGACCAGCTCATGCGAGGGAGGGAGGGAGGAAGGATTTGTGGGCTCCCAAACTTACATCGGGGAGGAAGTGGGATGAGCAATAGGGAGGCTGTTCTCCTCCCAGCACCAGTGTAACTGCTCCTGGGAGTGTACCCAGGTTATAGGAGCCGGGTTGTGTCACCTTACTGATGCGCTGGTCTAGATCTTCAGTGATGAGGGAAGCTCAAGCTGCGGTTCGTGCTCAGTGCTAGCGATGAGGAAATGTTCTGGAAAAGACGTCTTCCCCCTCCCTCCCCCCCTTTTCATCATTAAATTTCATTGATTGGATTCTGCTGCATGCTTCATTTTTTAAACAATCCTTTCTCCAGACCCTTAGTCTTACTTTGCTGTGGGAATATTTCCAGGGCTGCAGCGCTCCCACACATGGCACATGGGCAGCAGATCCTGGCACACGCTTCACAACTGCTTGTTGCCACGAGACATTTAAGACATGAACACAAAGTGCAGGAGGCAGCCCTGGGCCCCATGGCACAGGGAAATTTGGGAACTGCAGCTCTGCACTGGTGTACTTCTCACTTCATTAATAGCTCACTGTGTGTTGGTGTGGTTTTTTTTGTATTTAGGATGTATAAAGGTTAAGTGCCAAGCGCCAAGATGAGCGTGACTTCGTGGTTCTTGGTGAGCAGCACTGGCATTCGCCATCGGCTCCCTCGGGAGATGATATTTGTTGGCAGAGATGACTGTGAACTGATGCTCCAGGTAACATGGCTTTTTTTTTTTTTGTTATTTCTTCTGAAGATGCAGTAGATGTGAATGTAACGCCGGGGATCTGTAGAAATGTTGCATGCTTTCTTCGAATGACATCTTTGAAAAGGAACTTCCTTTTTTATGTTGTCTGTGGTTCCCATGAAGTCTTCATATCTTTGTGAAAGTGCAAGTGAGGTTTCTTTCAAATTGCCGTGTCATCAGATGGATAGGAGCCGTACTGATGGGAGGTTAATCAAACAGATTAACTATCTTGATGCTACTAGGAGAAGTAAGCAAAGATATACCATTCTGTCCTGATCTGTGATTATGTTGCTGGTTTTTGTAGGTTTTAATACATGCACTGTTTACGAGTATGTGTGATTTGAATGGGGGCGGGGTTTTTTGTTTGCCTATTTTTCCCTTTAAGTTTGATTAAATTGTGAGTGCTTGTATGTCTTGCGTTTTTTTTATCATGGTAGAAAATTGTGATGTTTAGCAGAGAAACTAGCGTTTTGGTGGAGTGAGTAAGGTGGTGACCTCTTCCCAAAGTAATTGTGTTACTCGGGCAAACTTGCATCTTCTATCAGTGCTTCCCATAGCAGTGTGTCTCTCTGCTGGACCTAATCCAACATGTCTGAAGTGTTGACTGTGGTCTGATGTTTGACAGCATAATGTAATGGACGTCACTCCAAACAAATGGAGCTGGAATCTTGCAAAGCGCTTTTGACAGGAGCAGTTTAGCTCAGGAATTTGTGGAAGCTCAGAATTAAATTAGTGGTTCTGCTAGACCTGTGCCATGAGTACTTAAAAGTAAAAAGTTTGATTGCACCTGCCTGTCCCCTTTTTCCTTCTTTACAAAGGTGACAAACGTGCCTGTGATAGTAAAATTAGGAAGCTGCACAGCAGGGACTTCCTTCTCTGTAGTAACGTCCTAAACGCTTTGCTGATGGTCTCCCAGGCAGGCTGTGTTTGTAGTTACTGCAGGGTTTTTGTGTGATATGTTAGTGGGAGGTCTGTTTAGGGGGTTAGAAGTTCTTGTACGAGGTGTACTTGGAAGGCAAGGTGGTGTCTAGCTGTAATAAAATATTAGTGCCCACAAAAAGCTTGCAGTGTTTTTACTGCTCTGCTAGCTGGCAGTGAATGGCATGGCTGTGCTGCAGTGGTGGAGTCTGAAGCATGCTCCTGGTCGACAGCAGATCGCTTGTTTGGGTTTTCCTATGAATCACACTATCTTTTATTTCATGTTTCTACATGTCTGACTGGTGAGGTGTGTAAAGGTGAGAATGTGTTCGCTTGTGACTTCAAGGGAGAAAACATATACAGTGGCCTTGGTTTCCAAAACCAGCCTGAGTTTTAGGGTGGACATCTTAATACCTTTTGAAGGAACTTGAGGGGTTTTTTACTGTCAGGGTTCAGCACTCTGAGAATCATGTCTCAAGTTGTGCACCCTAAAATAAAAGTACCCAAATATCAGTCATGCTTAAAATGCATTGCTTGTTTCTTTGGTTATTTGTGGGGTTAACTAGACAGCGTGGATTGTGAGCCATTCCAGACCACATGGAGCATTTCATGCTTCTTTGCAAGTCTCAGCTGGCTTGCTAGTGTTGCGTGTGGACTAGTAACCTTGTGACACTCTACACTTGCCATGCTCTTTTCTACAAGGTAAATGATTTGGGATTACTGGAGGAGCCAGCAGTATCTGTGAGAGTGAAGCGATTGTATTTAGGGCTCATAGGTGGTGGTGGTGGTGTTAAAGGAGGGTTTTGTTATTTCACCAGAATGGAGACTCTGGATTGTCTGTAAAAGCCAGCTCCTTATGTTCATGGGGTGAGTTACATGTGACCCTTTATAAACATATTAGTTTACTTTCTTCAGTAGTAAAGCATTTTCTGTGATCACGTGTAAGGTCTTATTTTGAACAGCACAGCATGGTATTTTCCTAGCCGTTTGCTTACAAAGATGTTTTCCAGAGCTACCTTGGGCTCCAAATGAGATGATTGTAGTAAGACTTAGTGCAGAAGAGAGACTGTGAACAGAGACTTGGTATTCAAGCAAAGTTGTGTGTGAGCAGATGGAGGATGAGGTCTAAAAATAGACTTTTCTTCCTACAGTGACTGTCCATGTCACAAAATCATTGTGCAGACTGGCACAATCATTTGTCTTGGGGAAAGCTTAAGAAGCAGGGCAGTTACCAGAAAAGATGGACAGAGCTGTCGTGACAGTGTTCACACCTGTAGTATTTCTGTGGTACTGACCCTGAAACTGTATACTCACTGCACGGTTATTTTGCTTATATATTTCAAGATACTGGCATATAATCCCCTAAAGTGCACAACTGGGAGCAGACTGGCAGTGTCTGGGGAATGGACTGGATTACCTGGTTGGTGTTTTTTTGTCTCTAAAGCTGTTACTGCTTAGTGATTTCATCATGATATGGTTTGTGGTTCCCTGTTGAGACCGTGTACATTAGCGTGCAAACATACAACGCAGAGATAACCCTTGTCCTGGAGCCCTTGCAGTCTTGCCTTTCTCATTTTACTGTTTTAGGAGTGTCTTGTCTTTTGATATTTTCTTGGAACATGCTGTCTTAAGGTATCAGATCCCTGAACAGCAAAAAATGATGGCTTTGTCACCAAACAATCAAGCTTCAGTTCCGCCTGTGTTTACTTATTTTATACAGGTACTAGATTTGCTTTCTGATTAACAAGGAGGTGAAGAAAAGCAGAGTCTTTAGGCTTAAAATTAAGTAGGTTTGATAGTGGGGAAGCATAATCTACCTTGAAATCTTCTATACCTACTAAGAGGATTAGAAATATTTTAAATGTTTTTGGAGTGCTGTAAAGCTTCTAGTACAAATAAATGTGAGATTTGCAATGGGTTTGAATGTTAATGCATGAGTGAAAGTGCCAGGTAGCATAGCTTGGCATGCACAGTGTTGTTACGCAGAGTCAGAGGCTCAGTTCTGCCCTTTTTCTGACGAACAGTGCTTGATTTCTTCAACGGTCTCACTGGCTGCTTTCAGGTGACAGTCAACAAACAGCGGGGAGTGTGGAAATCTAGCCCTTCACTAACCTGCACTAGCATGGTTTTTTTTTTTCTGTGAAGCTTGGTGGTGGTGGTGGTGGTAAGTAATTCTCTGAAAAGGTTAAAAAAAAAAAAAACAGTAAAGCAAAAATAAGAGGGGTTTTGGACCATCTTGAACAAAGTAATTTCCTCTCCTCCCCATTTTTATCAGCTTTGATAATTTGCTTAATGTGCTGGGTGTTTACTCAGAGGACAAACATTTTGCAAACTCAAAATTTTCACTTAACCATTAAAACCTTCCCTTCTGCCCTTAAACAAAGCCGCTTTTGCATCTTTGCTAAATGTAAATATTTATCAGAGGAGAAAGCAGGGTTATGATTTCCCTGTTTTTGCTTGAGAGAGATATGTTTCTTGGAAAATTTGGGAAAGCAAAATGTTTAACCAGTGCTCCCTTGAGTATTTCCCTCTCTTTAGAGCGATGGTTTGGGCATGCTGTTGTCCTGTGCTGGGTGAGGTTGTACAGGTGAACGTGAGTTACAGTGGGAGTAGGTGCAGATGGCATGATGCCTTCTGCCTTACGCCTTTGTCCTGTGTGCCTTTTAAGACAGCTTGACACTTCCTATCAGGAAACACTGTTTTTAATTGCTTACAACTCTGTTAAACTTTGTAACTGTTTGGGATGAGCATTTATTTTCCATGTGTCTGTTTTAGGCAGTGTGTTCTGGATGCGATCAGCTCCCTTCTTTGGTCTTTTTTGTGAGCAACTCTGAGAAAAATATCATTTTCTTCAAGTTAAATATACTTTAAATAGTTTACATGTTCTTTGAAGTTCTGGCATTGTACAGCTGGGGGGTGATGCTTTTCAAGGGTGAATGTCTAGGTCAGAGGTGATTTTATTTATTTATTTATTTTTTTTTAAATCTGCCCCCCAATAATCTAAATGTGTTTGATCAAGTTCCAAACCTTTGGAAAAAAGTTGGAGTTTGCATGTGATGAGCATGGACTTGCTTGATACTGTTGTTTTAGGTCATGTTTCATCTGGGAGTGAGGTTGGTAAGGGGATGGATTGGAGAATGGAACTGTCGCAGATTGGGCAAAGGGATGCACAAGGCTTAGATATAAGAGCAACTGTGCTGGGGTTTAGATATAAGAGCAACTGTGCTAGATTAGATCAAGGTGCCTTTAGCCTGGTATCCTGACTCAGACAGTGGTCAAAAGCAGCTGTCGAGGAAAGTGTGAGGACAAGCCAAGAGTATAATGATGCTTCCAGGGTACGTGCTCAACCTCTTGACCTGTGTTTCAGGAAGCCAGAGGCCAGATCTTTGCATTTAGTCGTTGGATTTCTACTCTACAAAGCCTCACCAGGAGATTAAGATTTGGCTGAGCAGGGAGGCACAACAAGGAGTCTGTAGTGTGCAGAGTGAGAGGAGGAGCAGCAGGATTTGGAAAAGTGGAGAGTGGTGCATATAGGGCAGGAGCTGTTCAGTGTGGGGAAAGCGGGCATTACAGGACATGACTGCCGAGCAGCATCTCCCTTAGGTCTGAGCTGGGCTCAAGATTTGCTTTTATTCTGGTGTCAGCAGATAGCTGTGAAAGCTACTAGCCAAGCATCTGTCACTGGTCCATATGGGACATCGCATGCTGCTTATGGTATCAATTAGTCAGTTCAAGTGCTAGGGGCTTTGTGAGCTGAACATACAAGTTCATTCTGCTGGTGAATCGGATAAATGGTTATGTGATACTGTTTGAATAGGCATCTCCCTCTTTTTAGCTTGCTTTGGTAAAAAACTAGGAAATTACAAGCGTTCTAGGCACTGAAGGAACGTTCTTACGGCTGCTAAGTCAAGTGTTTGTAACTGCAGAGCAGTAATAACATACCAGTATGAAAATTGCCTGTGTAATCCTGCTTCTGCCCCTGTGTACATAGGCATGAAGATGCAATCTGTTATTGTGTCGTTATTGGATATTTTTTCCCTGCAGGATCTGTT